CAAGTTCGTGTATGTTGTGATGTTCCGGTTCATACTTAGTTGATCTCTCCTCTATGTGCATGTGCCTTTTCACTAGTTCAATCTTCTCATTGTCAAGTTCGTGTATGTTGTGATGTTCCGGTTCATACTGTTGATCTTTCCTCCATGTGCATGTGCCTTTCACTAGTTCTAGCTTCTCATTGTCAAGTTCATGTATGTTGTGATGTTCCGGTTCATACTTGTTGATCTTTCCTCCATGTGCACATGTCTTTCAGTAGTTCTAGCTTCTCATTGTCAAGTTCATATGTGTTGTGATGTTCCGGTTCATACTTAGTTGATCTCTCCTCTATGTGCATGTGTCGTTCACTAGTCTAGCATCTCATTGTCAAGTTCATGTATGTTATGATGTTCCGGTTCCTACTTAGTTGATCTTTCTTCCATGTGCATGTGTCCTTCACTAGTTCAAGTTTCTCGTTATCAAATTCATGTATGTTGTGATGTTCCGGTTCATACTTAATTGATGTTTTCTCCGTGTGCATGTGTCCTCCACAAGTTCAAGTATCCCATTGTCAAGTTCATGTATGTTGTGATGTTCCGGTTCTTACTTAGTTGATTTTTCCCCCATGTGCATGTGTCGTTCACTAGTTCAAGTATCTCATTGTCAAGTTCATGTATGTTGTGATGTCGCGGTTCCTACTTAGTTGATCTTTCCTCCATGTGCATATGTCTAGCTTCTCATTGTCAAGTTTGTGCATGTTGTGATGTTCCGGCTCCTACTTAGTTGATCTTGCCTCCATGTGCATGTGCCTCTTCACTAGTTCAATCCTCTCATTGTTAAGCTTATGCATGTTGCGATGTTCCGGTTGCTACTTAGTTGATCTTTCCTCCATGTGCATATGTCTAGCTTCTCATTGTCAAGTTCGTGCATGTTGTGATGTTTCGGTTCCTACTTAGTTGATCTTTCCTCCATGTGCATGTGCCTCTTCTCTAGTTCAATCCTCTCATTGTAAGCTTATGCATGTTGCGATGTTTCGGTTCCTACTTAGTTGATCTTTCCTCCATGTGCATGTGCTTTTCACTAGTCCTAGCTTCTCATAGTCAAGTTCATGTGTGTTGTGATGTTCTAGTTCATACTTAGTTGGCCTTTCCTTCTTGGGCATGTGCCTTTCACTAGTTCAATCTTCCCATTGTCAAGTGCATGTGTGTTGTAGTGCCCCGGTTCACACTTAGTTGACCTCTCCTCCATGTGTATGTGCTTTTCACTAGTTCAATTTTCATGTTGTTGAAGTGCATGTGTGTTGTAGTATTCCGGTCATACTTGGTTGCTCCTTCCTACATGTGCGTGTGCTTTTCAAATCTCTCGTTGTCAAATTCATGTGTATTGCAGTATTAGCTTCATACTTAGTTGATCTTTCACTATGGGATGGGTGACCGACATTTGGCTGCTATTACTATGGGATGGGTGATCGACATTTGGCTGCTACTACGGGGAGACGATTTGATTAGGAATAAAAGTCTCTTCTCTCCTTCTCTCTCTCTCTCTCTCTCTCTCTCTCTCTCTCTCTCTCTCTCTCTCTCTCTCTCTCTCTTTATCTTCTCTCTCTCTCTCCCCTCCTCTCTCTCCTCCCTCTCTCCCACTCTCTCTCTCTCCCTCTCTATTCGCCTTGCCCCTCTCTCCCTACCCCTCACTTGGCATATGACTAACCCTTCTCCCCTCACTTGTTACATTGTCAGGGTGCGAACGGTAAAAAGGGATCAGACCTCACTTGGTGGAGAAAGAGGGCAAGGGAAGGGTAGCAAGTCTCTTGTGCCACCAAGAAGGCAAAGGGAAGGACAGTTGAGAAAGTGGGAAAAAGGGCGGAGTCCAGGAGAAAATATAAGTGGAAGCAAGGTCAGTTTGACTCAACCATTTCCCCGACTGCATGACTATGAGAAGAGGATGGGCTGAATGAGCAAAGAAAGGGAACAAAGAGCAGCCAAAGAGCATGGAAAGATAGGCATGTGGGAAGGGCTATGTGTTGACCCCCAACCGTGTGGGATTGTACAGGTAAGTGAAGGCTAAGGATGCCTTGAGCGGGATAGGGCCGGGAGGAACCGGGCATCAAAAGGAAAAGGGAAGAGGGGCAAAGGGGCTACGGGACCCTTAGCATAAAGCCAACCCATGGAAATGACCTTTGTGTTTGAGACTTGGAGTGTAAATGAGAAAATGGAGTGCAATCTTGCCAAGGGAAATGTGAAGTTGAGTGTGCATGCATGTAAAGGCCCGGAAAAGACTAAGGGGCCTGCGTCAATAGGGTTGGAGGAGATGTCTGGGACCCGATGGGTGCATAGAGGCGAGGGGAAGGACGACATCGCCGCACCCCGATGACGCCGTAGGAACACAATGCTTAGGGAAATGGTGTGCGGCCTAAGGATGACGCTTAGCGTTGCGGAATGACCAGCGAGACTACCACCCGGCGTGAGGGCTGAGCTACATCCCCAATGTCAAAGCTCTCTCGTGCGATGCCCACCCCCATCCATCTCAAAGCACTAGGGACGAATGGCCCGCGCCTTGAGCATGAGCGTGGGCGGGCCGAGCAAACTGGGCCCCGCAGTGGGGTTGACTAAGGCTCGAAAGTCTACCAGGGTTAGGCCCTACAACGGCGCGGGCGGGGAAGTCGGGAGTCGGGGGGGAAGGACGACGGGAGAACGAGGCGGAGTGTGGGGCG